TCAGGCAGCCAGATTAGGAGAATCTGGGGTCTGGGGTGGTACTACAAGAGATGCTGGTCAGCTCTCCAAGTAGAGGATGTTTTTCTAGAGACTTGTACATAGTTCCAGGACGTTGTCCTCAGTTGCTATGCCCTTGGGCATCCCATATACCAATTACCCCATCCAAGTTCTAATTCCCCTAATAAAATCCAAGAAACAAGCTCAAGGACTGGATACTGTCTCCTGGATGCAAGTCCGTGTGGAAACAACATGCCAAACATGTTTAACAAATATGCAACAACAAAAAAAAAGTAAGCTTACATCCTAAGGACCAGCTAGCTATATTAAAGAATACTTTACATCGTGGTAAACTGCATAGTGGCATTATTTTGCTGGTCTATTAGTTTTCCTTTCAATCTTTGTGATCTAGCACTGATTAGAAGCTGTCACCCATCCAGATCCCTGACAATCAACAGTTTCTACGTTACTTGGAGCACTTGTCATTTCTTGCTTTGACAGACAAGAGTTGACCTTGTGGACATTTAGAAGTGGTTGTAGCCTTGAACTTGATTTTTTTATGCTCAGTTGATGGATGCCTCATTCTGGAAAACTCCACTATTTGATATTAGATGGAGGAGAAAAAATATTTTCCTTATTTTTTCTTGGAATGGAAAACCCTTGGTTTTGATTAAACCCTATATACTTATGCCCCTTTCAAAGAGCACAAAAAATATATTATTATTATTATTATTATTATACAGTATTTATAAAGCGCCAATAGTTCGCTCAGCGCTGTACATTACAAAGGGAGACAGAACATGTGACAGAACAATACCAATACAATGCAAAAACATGAGGGGATCAAGGGCCCTGCTCTTTCGAGCTTACAATCTAGGAGGGAGGGGGTGGTGGCACAGGAGGAGATAGCTGTGGGGGATGGAGTGGTAGGAAGAGTGGAGGAGGGAGGCAAGTTAGCAGGGGGTGGGGTAGGCTTCCCTGAAGAGATGGGTTTTCAGGGTGCGCCTAAAGGAGAGGAGAGTAGGTGATAATCTGATGGGTTGGGGCAGGGAGTTCCAGAGGATGGGTGACACCCTGGAGAAGTCCTGGAGGCGGGCATGGGAGGAGGAGACCAGGGAACTAGAGAGAAGGAGGTCTTGTGAGGAGCGGAGTGTGCGTGCTGGGCGGTACTTGGATATTAGGTCAGTGATGTAGTTCGGGGCAGTATGGTGGACAGCTTTGTACGTCAGCGTTAGGATTTTGAATTTGATCCGTTGCGCAATCGGAAGCCAGTGGAGGGATTGGCAGAGGGGGGTGGCGGAGACAGAGCGGTTGGAAAGGTGAATGAGTCTAATCCTACATATCACTTAAAGTGTATAATGTGCCCAGACTATGGACAATAAACAAATTGCATAGTCTTAACACACACTAAAAAGCTTTAAACAAGCCCTCACTCACATCTCTAGCTGTTGTGACCCTGAAGCAATTCATTCTTAAAGATCCCTAAAGATCACAACAAACTCCAAAGTCAGGTTTCAGTTGGCTTCTTAAATCTTAGAAACATCTGCTGTTTTCTTACAGTAGAGGGCTGCCAGGATCTGCTCTCATAGAAAACACAGCGCCTGTGTTGTGAACTTTGAAGATTAAAGTGCATCTATATCCAGAAATTTTTTTTGTTGGTATAGAACGAGGATGGGTTAAAACTTCTGTCAGATTTTACTGTCATCTGGGGCTCCTTTAGAGAGATTTTTCTTTCTTTGTGTTCTGCGTCAACTTTTTGCCAGACAGGAAGTCATAGAAAATCTGCAACAACAGGCAAACAGACAATAATAAAAAAAACTAACACAAGTTCTCAGGTTCTAGAATTCACCTTCTTAATTTAAATTATTTTACTTCTGTCTGTGTTGCTCTTAGGATGTTTACCCTCATTTCCTGTTCTGGGGACAACCTTTTTGCCAGAAAGGCAGTGAAGGAATCATTCCAACAGAGCCTCTGACTGCAGTAATCCTAACAGGAGTTTTAATCCTTCCCCACTCTACCAAAAACTCCAAAAAATGTGGGTATGAATATATTTTAGTTTTCCCACAGTGCAATGGAAATAGAGGTGAATGAGGACTTGTTTAACTGCTTTTCACCCACCCACAGTACTGCAGGCAGGTGAAAGCTGCAGGCTAGGCAATGGCACATGTGAATTGGCGTGCCGCCTGAGGTATGCAGCGTGCCACGACTGCTATGTCTACCAGACACAGCAAATTGAGGCTATCGGTAACCAGCTGCTTTGAGCGCTTGGGGGATCATATTCTCCCAATGTAAACACAGCTGTTGTGAATGGGTTTCATTCATAACAGCTGTGCTTAGTAATATGATGCTGTGATTGGCCCACAGCTATTACATGGTACCAAGACCAATCACAGCACCCAGTACCATGTGAAAAGCTGTAGCCAAACAGATCACTAGTAATTACATTTCATATGAATGTAACCCATTCATGAAAGTTAAAAACTTTGCTGGTATAGTGATAATCACTGTAACAGCAATCAAAGTGTACAAAAAAACCCTGATCACCACTCCCCCAAAGTGGTACTCTGTTGCTCTGATGGCATTGAACTACTATGATGAAAGTATGTAAAAAAAAAAAGAAAAATATGTTAAAAAGAGAAACAAAATGAATAAAAACGTATTTAATTTTTTTTTAACATACTGTCACCAGTCAGTATACCAGATGGCTGCCACACCAGTCATATAATGATGCTGTACTGCACTGGTGACAGTATGTAAAAAAAATTGAGGAAAAAAAACTAATTTTATTTAATTTCTTAATTTTCCCAAAAATTTTGACATAAAGTTACAACTTCAAAAATCTTTACATGCCTCATACCAAATGCCTAAAACTGTCTACTTTCTAAAAAGGGGTAATTTGGGGGATATCTGTACTGTCCTGGCATTTTAACCACTTCCTGTCCAGCCCATGTACATAAACGGCCAGACAGGAGCAGTGCAGGAGCGGGTGGCCATTTATAAACAGCCTCCACTTTCCCTGTCTGTGCGTGCTCCCTGGGAGCGGCTGTATGGGACCTCTGTGTGAGGTCCCGATCATGTGATCACTGATTGACCAAACAGTGATCACATGAATAGTAATGAGCAAGATGTCACTTGCTGACATTATTGCTTACCACTAGTGAAATCTGTGAATGATCACAGAAGTCACATGGTACAAGGCTATTCACAACAGCCTTGTACCATGTGACAAGCTGTGACCAATCACAGCTCTCACAGTATTTCTCAATGGCTGCAAGAATGCAGCCACAGTGAAGGAGAAATTATTGCTTTTACAGACTTTATGGGTGTAAAAGCAATCAGTGTATAAAAAAAAAAATCTTCATCACCCCCCACAAGTAGGTGACACTATACTGCTTGCTAGGGTAACAGTATGTTAAAAAAAAAAAAAAACATAAATAATAATATAAAAAAATATTTTTTTTTTAGAAAAAATAAAATTTTTGGTTATAAACTAATTTGGGTTATTTTTTTCATACACTTTGGTCAAGATTTATGAAGAAATATTATTTATTTGCAAAATTTTATAAGAAAAACACTTTTTTTCAAAATGTTTGGACTTTTTCATTTATATAGCAAAAAAAAAATCCCAGTGGTGAATAAATACCACCAAAATAAAGTTTTATCTCTCTCAAAAAAATGCTAAAAAATTCATATGGGTACAGTGTTGCATGACCGTGCAATTGTCATTCAAAGTGTGATAGCACTGAAAGCTGAAAATTGGCCTGGACAGGAAGGGGATGAAAGTGTCCAGACTTTAAGTGGTTAATGACCTCAAGAAATGAGATAGGCCATCAGCACATCAGGGCTGATCACTATGCAAATATACTGTATATACCATAGTTTGTAGACTCTATGACTTTCACACAAACCAATTAATATTCACTTAATGGGATTTTTTTTTTGTTACCAAAGACATGTAGCAGGATATGTAGCAGGATATGCTTGGGCCTAAATTTATGACCAAATTTTTAATTTATATATTAAAAAAGAAAAAACCCAGTAGTGACCAAATATCACAAAAGAAAGCTCTATTTGTGTGAATATAAATTTAATTTGCGTAGAGTGTTGCATGACCGCACAATTAGAAATTAAAGAGGAGCTATATAGCAAAAAATGCCCTGGTCACGAAAGGGGTGAAACCTTCTGAAGGTCAAGTAGTTAAAGTGCTTTTACTTCTTGTTTAAAATATGTAAACAATTTAGTGTGCGTGACATGGCACAGGTTCACTTTACCAAAAAAAAGCATCTGCCTGAAATGTACCCTGACAACATAAAAGGCCATAGACCTTTGATCATTAACACATACAGTATGTCTTCTCACACTGGCATACAGTCATGCAATTCTATCCTCATGTATACACACATATATACTACAAAAATACGAAAAACAAAAGTTTCCATTGCAGGATGGTAAAAAAAGAAAAAAGAAATAGAAGAATGACAAAAGAACACATTCATAGTCTACTGTTAAACTCCTACTTATGGGTCAAGGCAAACTTAGGTTTATCTATCAGTGCGGTATTATTTTAAATGTCATTTTTTTTCCTCAGCTGTTTTCTGTAAGTCAGGAATAACTGTGACCTTTCAGCAGTTAGAAATAGTGTATAAAAATAATTGCTCTGAAAATACCACAGGAAAACAACACAAACACATTTTACAGCAGAGCCGGTCTCTTCACATCTAATCTACAGTGTCTTGTTTAATTATACTGAAGTGTTATTAAGGTGTAAGCACCAGACATGGACACGTGTTGGCCATATTGTATCGAGTGAGTGCATAATGAATATTGAAATCTAAACTGACCTTTGAAAACATTTTCAGAAATAGATCCACCAGTGATGACTGCTTATCTTGTATTTCTTATATCCCTACATTTACACATGGATAGGGTTTCCAACTGCCTAGATCTATCTGCAAAAGAAGGTTGCTGTCAAAGAGGATACTGGCAACCAGGGGCGGACTGACCATTCAAGCACTCGGGCACTGCCCGAGGGCCCGGGGTCAGTAGGGGGCCCCATGAAATGCCCCTGGTACCTTTTTTATAGGCTTTTTTGGGTGTGCTTTGAGTGTGGGAAAGGACACAGGGGCCCCATGATCCCCTATTGCCTGGGGGCCCCATGAGTTGTCAGTCCGCGCCTGCTGGCAACATGTTCTAAAGTGCCCACCAACAGTTTGTCTATGTGTGCTGTAAATCACACAAGTTACATATTTCTTCTGTATTTTGCTAAATTCTGGAATTAGGCATCTATGATAGAGAACACCTGGCAGATTCTAAAACAAGAAGTCAGATTGGATTTCTAGTGTTGGATAAAAAGGCCTACTACCCATCTTCTGTAGGTCTGAACTTTTCTGAGCAGACTGGGCAATATATGTTTATGTTTAAATATATGAGGAAAATGGGATCTTTGCAACATATTGCAACCAGTAAGGTATAGGATAGGTTATTGAAAACATTACTTAGTAGAAGCTGGCATTAGGCAGGCTCAAACTCTAAAAAGAATCCTATTTTTGCTAAGACCCCTGCAAGCAGGTGTAACTCTGTTTCAGTCCTCAGATTGTCTTATTGGTTGAGATCAGAATTACTACCTGTAGAAGCTGGTGGGAAACAATATGAAGCAACTAACAGTAGGATGGATGGATTCTAGAAATCAGAATTGGAAAGACAAGACGAGGTCAGAACCAAAATGGTGTAGTTTCAGCTTAGAACCGACTAGAATAGAATAGAACTATTAGCCTTTATAGGGTGTATGGTTTAGTGGAGACATGTAGTCTGAGGCCACACTTTATCATTTATTTATCTGTACTGGTTGGGAGCAGCGGCAAACCTTTCCTCTTTATACTAGCTCTCTGAATTGGTATTAGGACAAGTTTGCACTCCATGTTCTGGGACACAGGGATATGCTTTCACTTCTACTTTGAGTGGCACCAAAAGCAAGCTACAGGTCAATAATGGCCTTTTCTAAACATTGTACCAATGCAATGCAACATAAATTTGAGTTCTACTATTAAACAATTCCTTAATAAAAAAAAATCACAAAAATAATAAACCACATAAACAAAACAAGCAACAACTACCCACAATAAACACCCAAGACCACAGACCCACAGTACTAACAATTACCATATTTTTCACTCCGTAAGAAGCACTTTTTTGCCCCCAAAAAATGGGGGGAAATGGCTGTGCGTCTTATGGATCGAATATGAAGCGGCCGGCCCAGTATTCCCCCGCCGCTGTGGGGGCGCTTTATGAATGGCCCCCATAGTCTTCTGGGACCTGTCACATGTCCCAGAAGAAGACTACAGGGAGAGAGGCAATCGCAGCGGAAGTGGGAATTTGACAGGTACCCGCCCCCCCCTTCCCCACTCTCTAATGGTCTGCATTCTCTGGTCATCTCCTGTACTATGTCTGCAGTCTCTGGTCATCTCTTGTACTATGTCTGCAGTCTCTGGTCATCTCCTGTAGTATGTCCGCAGTCATTGGTCATCTCTTGTACTATGTCTGCAGTCTCTGGTCATCTCCTGTACTATGTCAGCAGTCTCTGGCCATCTCCTGTAGTATGTCCGCAGTCTCTGGTCATCTCCTGTACTATGTCCGCAGTCTCTGGTCATCTCCTGTACTATGTCCGCGGTCTCTGGTCATCTCCTGTACTGTGTCCGCAGTCTCTGGTCATCTCTTGTACTATGTCTGAAGTCTTTGGTCATCTCTTGTACTACGTCCGCAGTCTCTGGTCATCTCCTGTACTATGTCCACAGTCTCTGGTCTTCTCCTGTAGTATGTCCGCAGTCTCTGGTCATCTCCTGTACTATGTCCGCAGTCTCTAGTCATCTCCTGTACTATGTCCACGGTCTCTGGTCATCTCCTGTACTGTGTCCGCAGTCTCTGGTCATCTCTTGTACTATGTCTGCAGTCGCTGGTCATCTCCTGTACTATATCCACAGTCTCTGATCATCTCCTGTACTAAGTCTGTAGTCTCTGGTCCTCTCCTGTAGTGTGTCCCGCAGTCTTTGGTCATCTCTTGTACTATGTCCACAGTCTCTGGTCATCTCCTGTAGTACATCCGCAGTCTCTGTTCATCTCCTGTACTATGTCTGCAGGCTCTGGTCATCTCCTGTAGTACGTCCGCAGTCTCTGATCATTTTCTGTACTATGTCTCCAGTTCATTGGTTCAGAATATTTTTTTTCTTGTTTTTCCTCCTCTAAAACCTAGGTGCATCTTATGGTCAAGTATGTCTTATGGAGCGAAAAAAATGGTAATAAATAATATGATAAATATAATTAAATGCCTGTTCACACCAGAACACAGTGCAGGAAACCTACCTTCAATGCGCATTTCCCACACTGTGTTCAAAATGCAATGCAGTTGCAATCTGCAACGAGTGTCAATGTCAAGGTAATGACACCCCAAACGCAAGTCTTAAATAAATTGTGTTTGACTGTATCGGATCGTATGGTACAGAAGTACAGATCAGTATGCTCTTGATGGAAGAGCAGTAAGAAGTCACAAGCAATTTTTCTTCCGAACCATTTTCCCTGAGCACTCTGAGGAAATGTAATTGTTGATGTGCTTCTTACAGTAGTATTAGCTGATAGGGATAATTCATCAGAAATATAAGTTCTTGAAAAGTAAAAGTAGTACCCTTCTCCACACAGATCCTCTTTATTTAAAGTGGGATTAAATCTTCACTGTGCTTCCTAAAATCAGTAATAGTTAGTTTTTACAGTGTGTGAGATCGTATACTGACCACCACCACACAGCCCATTCCTGAAACTCTTTTCAATAAGCCATCTCATCTCCCCCTGTAATGAGACCAACCACAGCAGTATGTTCTCCAAATTTTATGATGGTATTATATTGGGGTACAGTTGTAGGTGTACAGAGCAGACTCAGTAATGGACACAGCCTTGTGGAGAGCCAATACATTGTAATATGAGTAAGAGAAACCTTATTAATCAGATGCTGTCTTGGTATGCTGAGCAGAATTTTAATTTGGCATCTGGTGACATAATGTTTATGCTGCATTCTGTAGTCATCCCAGAAATAAGTAAGGCTGGCCATACATGGCTCAATTTTGTTTTGTTTGGATTTTCCCATCTTTGCATTTTAAAGGGGAGACAACTGGGGAGACACCCTACTGTCAGAATACACAGATCAGTGCATGCAGCCATTGGCTGCATGTGCTGATCGGGCAGATAAAATCCAACAGTGTGGTTGAACAGAAGTCGATCAGTAGATCAAGTTCTGTTCAACTGCAGTGGTCACACATGGAGCAAAATTTGCCCAGTCCCTGTTTAACCGACCAAATTTCAATCCATGCTTAAGGATAAATATCTAAGTATAGCTGACACAGCCTCAAAAGGAAAGATACTATATGAGACAATGCCAGCTGGGAGAGCAGACGGTGGGTTAAACAAAAGCCCCCAGTTCCCTATTATAGGAGTTATTTAAAGTGGTTCTAAAGGCAGTTTTTGTTACGTTAATGCATTCTATGCCTTAAGGTAAAAACACCTTTTGGGTGGACCCCCCCAAATCTCCACTTATACTTACCTGAGCCCCATTTCGATCCAGTGATGTGCAAGAAAGCAGCAGCTCTCCTGGGTCACTCTCACCTCATTGGCTCACACAGCAGAGGCAGCCATTGGCTCCAGATGCGGTCAGTCATAGCCAGTGAGCCAATAAGGAGAGAGCAGGGAGCGAGGCTGAGCCATTCAATGTCCATTTACAGAGCATGGCTCAGGAGCAAGCCCGCTTGAGTTCCCCCATAGCAAGAGGTTGCTATTGGGGGCATTTGGCTGGGGGGGGGGAGCCAGGACCACTAGGGGGGACCCAAAAAGAAAAGGATTGTTGCTGCTCTGTGCAAAAAAAAATTACACAGAGCAGATAAGTATACCATGTTTGTTTTTATTGCAACCTTTTAGAATAATTTAAAAATTTCACTATTTTCCACCCTTGACTATCAACGAGGGATTTCCTAATTATCAGACACTAATTCTATAACTTCCAGTCTGTCCCATTATGTTGACCACCACTGTAGAGATAATTGAAATAAATACCATCTTACATTAAATATCGTACACAAGTTATTTACTGGACCTTAACCGCCTCCCGCCCGCCATATAAGGAAATAACGAGCGCAAGGCGGTTTTTCTCATTCTTGGAGGACATCATTAGACATCCTCCTACTCTAACCACGCGTGCAGTTCAATGGAAAGAACTGAAGACGGCAGCTCGGTCATGTGATCAGCTGTGTCCAATCACAGCTGATCACATGTAAATAAGGAAATGCCCGTTATCAGCATTTCTTTCCTCACGAGCTGTCACGCTGACAGCTCGAGAGGAGAGCCGGTAATCGGCATTCTTCAGAGGGAACGTGTACACTGATCATCAGGGCACTGATGATCAGTGTGCCCTGATGATCAGTGTAGCCCCAGAAGTGCCACCTGTCAGTGCTCATCAATGCCAGCTGTCAGTGCTCATCAATGCCACCTGACAGTGCCCATCAGTGCCACATCAATGCCACATATCAGTGCCTACCAGTGCACATCAATGCCACATATCAGTGCCCATCTGAGCTGCCTTTCAGTGCCATCTATCAGTGCCAGCCAGTGCCACCTATCAATGTCAATCAGTGCCACCTATCAGTGCTGCAAAATCAGTGCCGCATATCAGGTCCAGTCAGTGCCGCCTATCAGTACCCGTCAGTGCCGCCTATCAGTGCCACCTAACAGTGCCAGTCAGTGCCACCTATCAGTGCCACCTATCAATGCCATATATGAGTGCTGCCTTTCAGTGCCCATCAGTGATGCCTGTCAATGCCCATCAGTACCACCTACCAGTGCCTCCTCATCAGTGCCCATCAGTGCCACCTATTAGTGCCCATCAGTGCAGTCTATCAGTGCCATCAGTGCAGCCTCATTAGCGCTCATCAGTGAAGGAGAAACATCACTTATTTACAATATTCTATAACAAAAACTAAGAAAAACTTTTTCTTTCAATATTTTCAGTTGTTTTTGGTTTGTTTAGCAAAAAATAAAAAACCCAGAGGTGATTAAATACTAACAAAAGAGAGCTCTATCTGTCTCAAAAAAATTATAAAAATGTCATATGAGTACAGTGTTGCATGACCGTGCAATTGTCATTCAAAGTGTAACAGTGCTGAAAGCTAGAAATTGGCCTGGGCAGGAAGAGGGTATAAGTGCCCTGTAGGCTAGTGGT